TGACAGGTCATATACAAAATATGCAGCATTTTTTTTTTTATACAGATGGCTAATTAGCCTGCAGGTGGGCACAGTAATGAGAGGGACAACATTAGGCAGATGTTCACTGTTGGTCCTTTATTATGGTTGGGATCCAAAATGTTTCCCCATAAATGGATGCAACTAGAGACCATACTCATACGTGAAATAAATCAGATCCACATGTGTAAACATTGTGTTGTCTCCCTAGTGTAAGAAACTGAAAGAGTCAATAAGATCTGAAAGGTACAACAGATATTGTGAAAGGGAAAGACGCTGCTCGAAAGGAAAGAAAACTGAAATGAGGGGAAGGAAAAAAGAAAGAAAGAAGGAAGGGAAAATATATATACACAAGATAGCAAAGATAATTGTACTACTAATTTCTATTGGTTTATTGAAAGGAACAGTTAATGCTTAATTTTTTTTAAATCAATTTTGCATGCCTGTGTCTGGTAATCTGAACAACTACTTTGAAGATATGTAATATGCAATGTAACAACAATTGTTGATTTCCTATCATCTTGGTTTGAAATTCTGTATCATTTTAAATTTTTAAAAAATTTTTTTGTCCTCTTTAAAAAATAGAAGACAAGATGTTTCCCCAAAGGACTCATTTTGTTAAAGATTCAGTTGCTGATAAGTTTTGGGGAAATTACTGGATCATGAGGACTCTGAGTCCATAATCATAATTTGTTGGTTTTATTGGGATGTGATGGAAACAGGAAGTGGGACCCAGTTCAAGGAAATGGATCAGGGGAATGTGACCTCAGGGGCTATATCTGGCCCCCAGTCCCCTCCTTTCCTGCTCTCTCACCTTCTCTGCTTCCTGACTGCCTTGAGCTGAGCAACTTTCCTTCACCCAACCTTTTCCGATGTGTTCTGCCTTTCCTCAGGCCCACAGCAATGGAACCAGCTGACCATGGAATGACACCTCTGAACCGACGTGACAAAATAAACCTTTCTTCCTTTAAGTTGTTGTTCTCAGATATTTTGTCACAGTTATAGAAAGCTGACTAGCACATCTTTGTAGCAAGGCAAGTAGATAAGTTCTTGATTTCCTCTGCTGGCAATTTAACCACCATGGAGGTAGGGGAAACTGCATGTGAGCCTTCTACTGGAAACCTAAATCAGTAAGGAAGAAATGATTGTAAGCCCAAAGGAGAGGGACCCTTTGGGGGAGAATGCTATTGTTGGGTAGGTAGGATAGCACAGAGGTAAGGACATAGGTACTGCGATGGTGTTTCCTGGGTCCAAAACCTGGTTCTGCTACTCATTAGCTATGTTCCTTTACCTTGTTATGCCTTTATTTTCTCTTCTATAAAATGATGATAATAACACCTCTTACTTTATTACCCAGTTGCAAAAATGAAATAAATCAAAACAGCACATGGAAGGCATGCAATAAACATTGGCTGTAAGTATTAGTGTTTACTTGAATTCATATTTGTGATAAACTTAGATGGACATAGACATGGATCTTAGACCTTAAGGACATTTAAAAATAATTTACAAATTAATTTTAATTAACATTTTAATTAATTTAATTGATGATAAAATTCAGAGCTAAATGAGGTAGAAATTTTAAAAGGGACTTTGGCTTAAGATAGTTTAGTAAGCTTTTCTATAAAGGGCCAGGTAGTAAATATTTTCATCTCTGTGGGCTTGTGAGTCTCTGAGGCACCTGGTCAGCTGCTAAGGGCACAAAGGCACCGTTAGACAAGGTGTCCACAAGTAGGCATGACTGTGTTATAATAATTTTTTTTTTACAAAACAGGTTTACATAGTAGTGTTTTGGCCCCTGGCTTAAGAGGAACGAAGAATGCTAAAATATAAAATTCTACCTGTGTGACTGTGAATGATGTCAGTGAGATGAAATGCAATAAGGTAATTAAGCGAACCAACATAGCTGCAAAGGGAGCTGTTTCCCTCAATGTGCAACAGGGCAGGTGCCAAAAAGGAGTGAGAAGGAGTCCTGTAGTTGAAAAATAAATAAAAAAGGTTAAGGTCTCTTTGAATCTGTCAAGCAAGCTAAGGACTGAAGAACAAAAGAAAGGGACGAGTTCTGTTTTGCAGAGTGGGCAAATAGGTTCAAAAGCTTGAAGCAAATAAGGATAGAGAGCTTGGCCTAAAGACAACCTTAGCATTATCAACAAGGTTAAGAGATTTAAAAATGACCTAACACTTCCCAGAGGCAAGCAGAAGTTGCCTCCCTAAATACCAAAATTTGGTGTAACTATTTTCTTTTTATACCTTGGGATACTTTTTCTTATAAGTGTAGATTACTTTCAAGCATGAAAACGAAAACTATTTAGGGGGGAAAAGTCTTAGAAGAACCACATTATAAAGTAAATTTTATTCAGTATAAATAGAAGTTTCTCCTTTTAGTGGTCTGACCTGCAAATTACTGTGTCTTACTATGGCAGACATTAATTGGTTTCCTGTCAGCCATTTTCCTACTCTTTTCTTAATGCAGACTGTAACTTCCAGCACAGACCCCATACTCACTCAGTTTCCTTTGTAATTAGGGCAGGGACAGATCACCCCATTCAGGCCAAGTTTTGACTCGTTGAACTGTAACCCTCCTCTACCCTCATTCTCAGGCTTCCAAGCTAAGGGTTCTCTCTCTCTCTCTCTCTCTCTCTCTCTCTCTCTCTCTCTTTCTCTCTTTCTCTCTTTCTCTCTCCCTCTTTGTTTTTCTTTGTTTGTAGTACTGGTGATTAAAACTAGGGTCTTTTCCCTGAGCTATATCCCCACCTTATTTTTTTGTGACAGGGTCTCACTAAGTAACTAAGTTGCCCAGGTTGGGCTCACACCTGTGCTCCTCTTGCCTCAGTGTTCCTGAGTGCTGGGACGACGGGGTTGTGCCCTCACACTCAACTAAGAGTGTTCTTATTGAAGATTTAGTTCTAGTTGCACATTTCAATTCCTAATTGCTTCACCCTCCCCTGCATGTTCACATAGAGGCATGTTCCTCGTGCTCATGCTCACATAGGGTACATGTTCCTCAAGTTATCTAACACTGTCAGGTTGGAAAATGTCTCAGCAAGAAACAAAAGATTGATAAAAGGGAGATAGAACTTTGGCAGTGGAAGGGGTCCAAGATGTGCAGAGTGAGGGGAGGGAGGAGAGGAGGAGACATAAAGGGGTTTAAGATGTGTCATGTACATGTACCAAATACCCACAATGAATGTGAATGCCATATGTCATAAACACAAACTGAAAAACAACAACAATAATAATGAAAATGGGGGAGGGGGTCTAGCAATGGAGGGAGAGAGGTGGGGAAGGGAAGGGGAATACAAAAGAATATTATGTGCCTGTACCAGCTCCCTAAGATAAACACAAACTTCATGTACTGCAAACATGTGCAAATAAGGTACAATTAAAGAAAATGTGTCAGCATGCTTGGTTTCCTTTGCTCTAATTGTTTTCATGCTTTGGAGATGCCTCAGCAACCTAGGTCTAGAGGTCCCATTCAACCCAGCTATTCCCCTTTTGGGCATTTTCCCAGAAGATCTGAAAATGTCATATCACAGCGATATATGTCCACCCATATTCATAGCAGTGCAATTTGTAATTGCTAAATTGTGGAAGCAATTCAAATGTCCATCCAATGAGGACTGGATAAAAAAATTGTGGTACTTTTATATAATGGAATATTACTCAGCTATAAAGAAAGATAAACTCGAGGCTTTTATACGTAAATGGTCACAACTAGAGACCATACTCATAAGTGACATAAATCAGACCTGCACATGTAAGCATCGTATTGTCTCACTAGTGTAAGATCTGAAAGAGTGAATATAAACTAGGAGGTATGATAGACATTGTGAAATGAAAGGAAAATGCTCAAAAGTAAAGGGCAACTGGGGTGTGGGAAAAGAAAAGGGAAAGAAGGGGAAATTATGTAAGTATGTATATACAGGGTAGCTAACACAGTTGTACTACTGTCTTCTATTGCTCTACAGAAAGGAACAGTTAATGATTACTTGTTTGATCAATCTTGTATGTCTCTATTTATTTTCCTGAGAAACCACTTTAAAGTTAGCTATAAGTAGTACAACAACCATGGTTAATTTCCCACAACTTTGTTTGTAACTCTGTTTTGTTTGTATTATTCTTATGCTATTTTGTAAATGGATGTCTGCCTGTTAATATTTTCCTTCTTTTATTTTTTAAAATAAAAAAATAATTGTTTTCATACAAAGTCTTGCAGCAAGAGGTCTGAATGTAGGATTGCAATTTGTATTTCTTTTTTTCTTTACTTTTAATTTTTTATTTGTATCTTTGCAGCACATAATGACTACGTCCCACACGAGCAGTTGGTACACGTACATAACGCATCTTAATCCTTTTTTCATCCTTTTTCCTTCTTCTCTCCATTCCTTTCCTCTCTTGTTCTCCTTTTCTTTTGTGAAAGATCTATCTCCCTATTTCCTATTATCTACCTTTTATTTTCCTCTTTATATTTTGGGTTTCTCATAGAGGAGAAACCATGCAATATTTAAGCTTGTGTGTCTGAGTTATTTCACTTACTATAATGGCCTCAAGATATTCCATTGTCCTGCAGGCCACTCCAGTTTCTCTTTTATGGCACAGTGGCACTGCACTGTGTCTGAATACATTCTCTTTATCCATTCACCTGCTGATGCACATACGGGCTGCTTCCAAGATTTACCCATTATGAATTGTGCGGCTGTAACCATGGGTATGCACTGTAATATGGTGTCCTAAACACTTTCAGGAAGATACCTCAAAGCGGAATAACTGAGTTGAAGGGAATTTCTATTTTTAGTTTTTTGGAATTTCTGTGGGCACCAGGCAAGCCCAGAGATGGTTGGCAGCTCCAGGAAGAAACAAGAGATGGGGTAGCAGTGCTAGCCCCCCCAAAAGTGCATGGTGACTGCATTTTTTATTTCATGTTGCTGTAATTGGTTTTCACTATTGAGGGCACTATAGGTAGGTCACTTTCATGTGGGTCCCTAATTTCTCTTTCGCATACTTTTCTCACTCTTTTCCAAGTCCAGCTCTGTGGAAGACAAAGGTAAATCTTGGAGATTCATGTTAGTGAGGCATGAAGCACTCATTCTCTGCATGTGAGAACTCATGGGTAGGTCTTGGGGAAGTACCAGAGCCTTTGCATGTCCTAGGAATAGATAATAAAGGCAGTGAGGTAGAGAAGAGGGTTGGAAGTACCTGTTCAAGGACACCACTTTCAAATCCTGCCTTCACCACTGACTAATAATAATCTCAGGCAAATTACCATGTTTCAGAGTTTGTTTCCTCATGCATAAAATGAGTATTATGCTCCCATAGTGGAGATTATGAGAATTAAATATTCATCAAGTCTTTAGTACTCTCTCTGACATGTATTAAGCTCTGCACATAGGTGCTATTGCTCTTAATACATGGTGATATGTTTTTGCTGTGAAAAATGCGTCCCTATCTGGAGACTTTATTGTGCGGCAAGATCTTGCGTGGGGGTGGGGAGTAGCAGGAAATTCATCTTCTCCTGGGTCCTAGAAATTTATGGAACTATTAACAGTTCACCCTATTTGTGTTTATAGCACCATTTTGGTATGTGGCTTAGTTGCTCTGAAGATTGCAAGGTATTTTGAGGGTGGAGTTGGATCTTCCATTCCTGAGTTCTCCAGAGCACTTAACTGTGGGTTATATAAATGCATATACTTAAGCAGTGTTGGCCAGTGAAGAGGAACTCATGTATAAAATGAGTAATCTATAGAATGTAAGAATTCTAGAAAGTGCTTCAAGTTTGAAAGTCCTGGGACAAGAGTCAAAGTAAGTGTTGGAAAAACCAGAGGGCCTGGTTACCCCATCAGAGGTGCCTTAAAACCTACCAAGGAATTGAGGCTGGTCATTGATCCCCCAAAAAACTTTATTTAAAAACCCACAATGAAAGAAGGGCTCACCATGGTGGTGATAGTGGGAAAGGAGAGAAGATTGTCCCAAACTGGTAGCACTTGTGCACACTGACATCTCCAAAGAGGCTACGACGCTCCATCCAGCTGGCCAGTGTCTTCCCTATCTTCATGTTCATAAAAATGCCAGAAAGTGCCCTCCTAGGGCAGACTGGCCATGTGTGTCTGCAGAGGAAGCAGATGGTGCATGGTTGCCATGGGCTCATTCCAAGACAAAGTGTATTGTCTAAAGCAGGCAACTCTTGCTCATGCCTTGTGTTTAGTGATTGGATTTCTATTTACCTTTCTCAACTTTCTGCAGCCTCGGGAGGCAGCCAGAGGATCATCCCTTCAGGATTGCCAAGAATCTGGGACCCCTGGGAACCAGAGCACAGAGCTGTACATGTGACCGTGCCACTCCCTGTGGGATCTCACCTCATGGATGACTCACTTCCGTGGTAGACTATCATAGCATGATATACACAGCAAGGATGTCGTGCATTTAAAATCATCCTCTTCAGAGGCTGAGTCTGCTGAGCAGTGGAAGATCCTACCTTGTGATCCTCATTTTGCCTGCTAGAAATTGAGGATCAAAGCAGCCCCATTTGTATCCTACTAGGAGATACCAACATAGAGTGTCTCCATTGATTGATTCCCCAAACCAGGAAGTGTCCCTTCACAATGCTTCCCTGCCCTGCCCCGACACATAGAGAGGTCTCGGAGTACTTCATGGACTATGGTTTCTGCTGGTGCCCTACCTTCCATCTGCTCTAACCCCTTGCTTCCATTGCTTTCCTAGTTCCTGACCATCTCACCCTCACTTGGCATGTCTCTTCTGGCCTAGGCCTTTTGGGTTGACAGCTGAGTTCTAAATTCTACCTGGATTTTCCATGACAACTGGTTCCTCTTTTGCTCTGCCTATATGTGGCCAGTGAGACAGTGATGCTTGGCCTCAACTCTTGACCAGGAACACTTACTTCCCAGGCACATTGGGCCCTGTTGTTTTGAGAGAAGGCCCAGAAAACGCTATCCCTACCTTCATCTTGATTTCTTTTATGCTCCACCGAGGCAGGAGTATGTTTGGCAGCTGACGTTGCCCCTGGACAGCCACACTGTGGCTGCTGATGGCCCGGAGTGCCTGTTTCTGGCAGAGACACCTGGGAAGGCGGGGGTGTGCTGAGGAGTGGGCAGCTGGACACACCACAGGAACCTCATTGCAATTAGGGAGTTAGGCCATTTCCTGCCTCCCACACAGCAGGAAAAATTGTGTGTTGTTTTGTTTCTTCCAGCATTGCCCGTAAAGACACCAGATTGGCAGTAAGATAGCAGCTCTGGGGGCAGGGAAGAGACAGAGGAGCTGGTGAAAAACAAAGGCTAAGGTGGACTTTAGGGATCAAATGCTCTCATTTCCAGATGGAGACACCGAGACAGTAAAAATTCACCTTCTCTCGCATCCAATTTAAAGTTATGTATGTAGCTTCCTGGTGGTAGTGCCCTTCCAAAGATGGTAGTTTCCAAGGTCTATGTTGACAAGCGTAGTGTGATGCTAACAGACCTCAGACAAAGTCTGCCACCCCGGTCGCTGATCTAGCACAGAGCTGTATCTGCAGTGAAAACCAAGAGCGGTCTCTATCTCTGGCCTCCTCCAGGTCTGCTTTCTCACCAGTCTGTCAGTGACTTTCTTCAGGAGAACTGTAGCTGTCTGCCTCCTCCTCCCCAGCATGGTCGTTATATTTTTACGCTATAGAAGCTGAAGTTCGCATGTGTCTCTATTTGTGCTTGGATGTTCCTACCCACGGCCTCCATTGCTCTCCTGCCTTCCTGACAGATACCCAGAATCCCAAAATGGCGCCTGACCCCAAAAATGGCCCCAATCAAAACTGCCACATCATGCCCTGCCAGGACACACTTCCTAGTTCTTCCTCAGACGCCCAATAACTTCCCGCTTCCTTTTTTGCTCACCCGCCAACCCCATCCAATCCAATTCTACCAGGGTGCCTTAAGTACCTCCCCCTCAGTATTACCTAATCAGCCTCTATATAAGCCAACACACCCTGCCCCTCCCTTGAGGGTCTCTGCAATCCTAGTAGCCCTCCCGCAAAGGTAATAAAGGCTTGTTTTACCTATCTCTGTCTCATGCTCTACCTGGTGCCAAACCTAACACTTCACGTGTGTCTCACTGCTGTTCATCACCCAAGACTCCAATTTTGGATCCACTGAAGGATACTAGATGCCATTCCACCCTTCCATAAGAGTTAGCTCCTCATCCTTTGGGCTTCCACACCATTTGCTCAAATGCTATATGTGTCCCTATTTGATTTTGTGCTAATGTCTCTCTACTTGATCATGTCCCAATTGAACTCTAAGATCCTTATTGCTAGGACCTGTGTTTGATTCATCTGCATGGACCATACATGTTGTAGTAAGTTTCCAAGAGGAGTTTGTCACATGACTGTGCTATTCAGAAGGATATTTCTAGATTTCAAGATTATAGGGAGAAAGAATCTGAGTAATACCATACTTTTCAGAAATATCTTTTCAACAAAGCAAAATAAGCATCAACTTCAGAAGAGGGATCGGAGAATAAAGACTCATCACATCTTACGCAGTAGACAGGAAGCAAACAGAAAGTCCAGATATGGAGATGGAACGGGGTGCCTGGTGGTGGAAAAGATGGTTAGAAATGTTACAAGACTCCAAATTTGAGGATGTCTTCCTTTTTCTTTTTAAGGCTCTCCAGTGAGGTTTACAAAGCAGTGTGACTTAGTTTCAAGGTTTCATTTCATTCCCTAGTCTTACATGGTGGCAGGGAGGTGATGGGGATAGGAGTAGGGAAAGTGGTGGCAGAAGCCACTAACTTCTCCTCGCTTTGACTTCCTCAGCCGTGGTGTACTACTTGCTCAGCTCACATCTGTGTAGGGCACATTCTCACCTCTCAACCTGCCAAGAATAAGGAAAAAATAGGGATCTTTGAAAAGCTTCTGTCGTGTATTTGGAAGCTCTTTGCTGTTGGAGGAGACAGTTCCCAGCCTTGCACCACAGCTTTGGTAGTGCTCAGACTGGAGCAGGTTAATGGTGGTTACACAGGAGGACTGGAAGCTTCCACTCTATTCCAAGCAAGCAGGGAGAGAAAGGATATACTAGAACCCTATCCATGGGCTTGCTTCTTCCCCAGCTACAGCAGGGTTAATTTCTTTGTTTTTGACCTTACAGTATAACAAAAAAGCTTATGCAACCAAGAATGAAAGCTCTAGCTAGCAGACATCAGATCTGCGTGATATTCTGATATGCTTTTTAGGAAGCTCTGAGAATGTTACAAATACAGTCGGCAATTCTCTTGGCCAGGTGCATTATTGGTGAAATTGGTGAAATTCTGATAATGCAATGATTGGGTTGATCCTTACTGTTAGGGTTTAACTAAATAGAGACACAAAGGGCTCCAAAATGGTTGTTCAATTATCAACTATGAGACCCTTTCATTTTTCTGTACACATGCAGGATTATTATTTACCTTAGTGCAGAAGTTGATGAATGTTCTCTTAAAAGGGCAGACAGTGAATGTTTTAGGATTTGTGGGTCACGAGATCTTTGTTGCAACTGCACAAGACTGATGCCATCCAGAAGGAGCCATGGATCATCTGTGAATGAGCAGTTGTGGCTGTATTTCAATAAAACTTTATTTATAGACACTGTAACTTGACTTTCAAGTAACATATGCGTGTCACAAATTATTCTTTTGACTCATTTTCAACTATTTGAACATAGAAAACCACTCTTAGTTTACAAATCATATAAAAACAGCGAGCAGGATATATTTGGCCCGTGGACCACAGTTGCCAACATGTCTGAATGCATAAATACTCTTGCTGTGAGGCAATGAATGTTGGCTTCCAAAATAGATACGAGCATTTCTGTAGTTCTCTAAGTGATTTCAAAATTCACATTCAGGCTGGATACCTGGTTCATGACAAATCTTAAAAGAATCAAATTCAATCTTGCTTAGCTAATTCAATTATAAAATCTGCAACTCCATGGGACCTTCCAGTCTATATTTTAGACTTTACATGTGTTCAAATTTAAACAAAGTTATGGACACAAGGTTTTCTTCTACTAAGAAAATAGATCCTAAATCTTAGAGTAAACTATTTTGTCATTGTGTTCCTCAGTCACTCATTGTCATGCTGGTCAACTTTCAGTGGAGGGACACAGCTCTCCTCAATGTACTCTACCTTCTAATATTGATGGAGAGAGTTATTTATTTTTCCAACACGAACACCAAAACGGTAAGTAATGGCAAGCCCATCTCTGGATTTTCCTTCATGTTTTCCTTTACTGAGCCATCCATGGCCTTGGGTGTTGTTCCTTTCCCTAGACGGATGAGCTGATACTATGGAGAATCAGGAGTGGTATTTGTTGATGTAGTTCCTGAGTGTCTCCAACAGCCTGGGGTGTTAAAAATAGAGATTAAAGTAAGCTGCACATAGCAGTTTTCCCAGGATTCCAGATTCCAGAGGAGGTATAAAAAAATAACTCAGGAAGTATCTTTCTGGGTCTCCCTGAACACTTAATTTTGAGGCCAGAGAGGACCCTGCCCTTTAACTTTTTTTCCACTGGTGGGAATAGGGTGAAAGTGGACTAGCATAGCTAACGCCTTGCATATAGTAGATTCTCAATAAATGTTTATGAGAATCCAGAGCATGGGTAGGGGGAGGAGTGTGAAATGTTCTGTCTCAGCAGGAATTCTGGGTGCCTTCCAGTTGAACTGCTCCTGGGTTGCATTTCAGATCTTTGTAGAAACATGTAATATGTGGGGGAGAAACTTCCCCTTTGCACCCCAGGCAAACCAAGCCCAGTCTTAATTTTATGACAGCGGAGTGCACATAGCTTCCTCTCTCAAACATCTGCCACTGGCTCAGTGTTACCTAAAAGAGGAATCCAGCTTTCCTACGCTTTGCCTAAGTCTTCTCAGGAAACGAGTGCCTGCTTTCTGCTGCATTTGCAAGCAGTCCTGCTGAAGCTGGGACTGCAGGCATAAAGAAAGATTCAGCCCCTCCCAGCACAAGTTGCCATCCTGGCTTGTGGAGAGATAAGAAACTAGGGTTAGAGGAAATGGAGCAAGAGGGAAGAGGCAGGAGCTCTGTGTTGCACTTAATCTTTCTGAGATAACCAGGACATTTTGACAATTTTGAAGATCCCATCCTCAGCAAAACTTTTTTGGGCATGGTAAGGGGGTTGTGTGGTCAGCGTAGTGGGAAGGGAAGGAGAGAAAGTTGGAGTCTGTTTTCTTCAAATGATGAAAGCCTGGAGATATACACATAGCATAGAAAAGTGAGAAAAGTTTTAAAAAGATTGTTTATTATCTCAAAATTAGTTCTACACCCTTCACGCAAAATGTATTGCTTCTCTGCTACACAAAGGGCATCTTTACATCTTGACACTAGACTCTGAGCTTTTTAAGGTATTTGAGTTCTACTGACCTTTAAAGGCCTAGCATCTAGCATGGAGTGTGTCCTGTAATAGGTGCTTAGCGCATGTACGTGACAGAGTGAGCGCTGAATGAATGAGCGAAAAGCATGCTGAGCATCAGCAGCTGTCTTGGCTACATGAAGAATTTAATCTTTTTTCAGTACTGTCCCAGCTCCCACCCCCCACCGCCCAGAGACAAGCTGTCTCTTCAGAAAGCAGCAGCAGTCCTGACCTGGGATGGTGGCTCGAAAGGTGTGAAATATATTGAATTTCAATCTCTTTGCTGAAACTAAATGTGTTGGCACTGATCATACCTCTTTGGCTTATCTGGTCTTCAGCAGTTTCTTTTAAAAGAGAATTTAGTTTTAGGACCGCTGGGGAGCTACCAAATGCTAGGAAGAGCAGGGATTCTCAACCCTGGTGGTACGTTAGAGCCTCCTGAGAGGCTTTTAAAAACTCAATGCATAATACACCCTGCACTAATTGCGTCTGCCATTTGGTAGGTGGGATTCTGACCAGCCCTCCAGGTGATTAGGACACAGGGAGCTGAGGCTAAGGCACCACCCGCATAGAATCCCAGTTGATCTGCGCTCTAGCAATGCTGCCAAATAGCTGCTCCTCCAGTTGCAAATTTAGCCATCAATCCAGAGCAGAAACAGTAGTCTCGTGGACTGCAGTATGTGATTAGAATTAGCACTTTCTATTTTTGACAGTGGCTCCAATGAGCCAAGAACACCCTGAGTTCTACATCTAAAAATTAATTTAATTGGACTATATGGCTCTTTGCCAAATTTTGAAGTGGGTCGAATGTGTTAGAAAAACATCATGCTTTCTTTTATAGCAAGGTGTGTGTTATTATTTTCTCAGTCCCCAGCTCCTTGCAAGGGGTTTGCCATGGGGCAGAGGTCCAAAAATGATAAAGTAATTATAGCAGCTGCTGGGTACTTACTGTGACACTGAGCATCTCATTCAATCTTAACCATGTGAGATAGGTCTTGTGAATATCTGCACTTTGTGGAACGTTATAGGCAGAATTCTAAGACAACCCCAAGATTCTGTCCCCACTGTGCATGCTGTAGATAATCCCCTGCGCTTGTTTGTAGAGTGGATCTGTGAATCTGATGGGACGTTGCTCCCGGCATTATGCTGCATTATAGAGAAGGTGAAAGAGTTTTGCAGCTGTAACCAAGGACCCTAATCAGTTAACGTTAAAGTAAGCAAAATGGAGTTTACCTTAGGTGGGTCTGACCTAATCAAGCATGCCCGGGACTCAGAGTCTGCTGGCCTTGAAGAAGCAGCCCACTGTGCATTCTAAAGCTGCAAGGAAACGAATCCTGCCAAAAGCTCAGAACCACAGATACACCTCTGAGCCGAGGATGCAGCTAGATTCTGGATCTGCAGGAACTCTGACATAATGAAGCCACTAAATGTATAGTCGTTTGTTACGCGGCAAGAGAATACCAATACACTTGTGAAGAAATAATGATACAAAGAGGTTAAAGGTCTTGGCCAAGGATCCACGTTGGGAACTGTTGGATCTGGAAGTCAAACTGTGGCATTTCTGACCCTGTGCTATTAAGCCATGACCTTACTTTTAGCTTGGAAAATGAGGCTCATTTGTTCTGGCTCATCAGTCTTCTTTCTCCCAATAAGCTGGGACGCAAGTAAAGCACATTCTAGATCCTGCTGCTTTGTGAAATGGAGTGGAATTAGAGGCAGCAGCTGCCAGCGCGTTCCACATGTGGTTTTGATGTACATCTGGTGGGAGAATCGGGGCAGAGATGTGGAAAGGGTGTCTTTTCCACATCCTGCTCCAAGCTGTCCCCTCAGTTTGGTACATACGTAACTCATGCACAAGAGGAGGTCAGGGGAGTTCTGTTTAATCAGGACTGGGAGCGCAAAGACCAATTTACTGAATGCCAAAGAAACCTCACTAAGGAAAGAGATATTGCCAAGGTCTTATGATGACACTCATGTGCTTGCCTCCACCTGATGGGTGTTGGCTACGTCTCTAATTAGATCCACACCCTAGACCCTCCTAATGATTGATTATAGCTGCTTTTCCTTTCTTTGAGGTAAACTAATCTTTACCTCCAGTAGTAACACACATTTTAGCCAAGCTTTTCCATTTCGTTAAAGAGAGACAGTGATAGAGACAGTTGGAAGATTTAGTTACTCTGGGATCCACCTGGCTGTTGGCAGGATGTTGGCTCTGCTGGGAGGTAGAGGTCAGCTTTTGTGAGGAGGTGTGTGTATTTTAATGGGGCTCTCAGGCAGCCCCTCATCACTCCTCTACTATCCCATGTAAAGCCCAGGGGTGGCCTGTGTCTGAGTGGATCAGGAGACTTCAGAAGCTCAGAGATGCTGGGTGAGAGCTGTTACTGCCCATGGTAGAAATATGTCCTAGGAAGTTGTTTTGTGATTGTGTGACCATAGGCAAGTCACTTGACATTTTTACCTTTAGTTTCTTTTATAATCAGGCCTAATAATGTTTAGGCTGTCCTGCTCCTCAATATCTATTCTGCCCTCTCTCTCAGAAGGAGTTTGGCTCTGCGGTGAACTGAACATGCTCCAGCTCAAACTATTTCATTGCTTTGCTGATGGAATGAGTGTGACATAGTTCTGGCCTGTGAAAAGTAAGAGTGTGTTGTGGGGAAGAGTTGTGTAAAAAGTTATCATTTTCTCAGTTATCAGTTATACACTCCTCTTTCTGTTGATGACATTATTTTCTTTCTATTCCTTCAGGACGAACACAATTCTGTCTCATATAAAAGTCTCCCTCATAAGGTACACTTTTAGAGCATGTGAAAATACTAAACTGTTCTGCACTAAGGTGTGCAAGGAAAGATCTAGAATCTTTATTATAATTTCAAGATCCCTTCCAAGAGCTGTATTCAGTGTGAGGGGCAAGGGGCAGGGCACCTCTCCTTCTCAGTGCTGACCATTGGGCCATGTGGATGCAGTGTGGGATGGGTAAACTGTGGCCAGAGCAAATTTAACCAGAAAAACACATAATCCATAAGGCCCAAGGTGCTAACATTATCTGAGGCAGAGAAGATCCAGGAATGACTTGTTCCTTGTTTTTGAACATGTCTTGCCTGAGGATCTGTTTGAGACCTAAAAACTGCATAGGTGATTCTGGCAGTAGCTGGTGTAATCACCAGCAAGAGCATTACCTACAGCAGCTGACTCAGGGTCCAGAACAAGGAGAGGATAGACATATTTTCCCCTTTCCAGTCTAATTATAGTGAAAGCACTGATTTAGCTCGAAGGCCTGATCTCAGGAGGCACCCAGATAAACTGTGTCCACTCAAAGGACCATGATGAAGATGGAGCAGAAAACCAAAACCCAGTTCATCTTGGGGGCCATGAGTACAGGAGGTAGCAATAACTAGCCCGAAGAAGAACTGGCACAGTGGGGGACGTGATTGTTATTTTCACATATCAGAAGGGGCGTCATATAGAGTGAAGCCCAAACTCATTTGGTTTGATCCTGATGGGTGGAACTGGAATCACAGGAGCTTCTGGGAGCCAGATTTGGCTCTGGGTCTGGATTTGGATTTATATACAGTGCGAAAAGACTGTCAAAGACTGTAACCCATCTCAAGAAAAGTTCCTATTGCTGGATGTATTTAAGCACATATTGAACCATTTCTTGCTAGATGTTTTATAGGAATCCCAGAATGTGTTCACATGTTGGTTTCTTCAATCAATGAGTTGATTGACCGATTATAGTTATTTAGTGCCTATTGTGTGTCAGGCTTTTAGTGGTCAGATTCCAATTTTTCTAGGTCTTTCTCAGCTTTGTGATTGTTTTTCTAGAGGGTTTTTTTCCAGTGAGCTATATCCCTAGATTTTAATTTTTTTTTTTAATTTTGAGTCAGGGTCTCACTAAGTTACTAAGTTACACAGGTGCTCAAATTTGTGATCTTGTTGCCTCAGCTTCCCAGAGTACTGGGATGACAGGCTTGAGCCACCATGCCCAGGTGTGATTCTTTAATCCTCTGATTATGGTAAACTCAATTTTGAAAAATAAAAAACGAGGCACCCCGATCTGTGTCAGTTACACTCAGCCACACAGCACACAAATAAGAAAACCCTTCACTCTGAGACTATCTACTCTCTTTTCTTTTTTGGTCATCTGTTCTTTCTAGAAAAAAACAAGTCTTGCTTACTAAATTATCCAGGCTTAGTGAGCATGTATGGGCGGGATGTGAAGTAACTCAGTATGGGTCTGAAAGATGTGTTTTCCCACTCTGGACAAATTAGAGCAAGCTCTTCCTTTGATCTGTAGTCTTCCAAACTTCCCCTGATACCCTCAAGCTGAAGCTGATTATATTCAGCGGCTGTGGTTCTGATTGCATCCAGCACCCGGCTCTGACTGGGAAAGCTGTGGATTCTTCAGAGTCAGTCACCCAGCGATTCTCTGTACTGAAATTCCAAAAACTTCTGTGGAAACCACACATTTCCAAACAAGCATTTGTTTTTCAAGGAAATTTGAATCCCTCTTTCTCTCAGTCACATAGACACATGCACGCACACACGAACACACACGCA